TATAAAGCGTAGGCTTGAGATGAATAAAAAATTGGTGTGTTGAAAAATAGATATGAAAACCAATAAACCTTTAGTAAATAATAGCCACGTATGCTGAAAGTGAATAGGAAAACAAGAGAAAGTAGAATATTGACACACAAACACAAACAAGAGAAATTATCTAGTTATATAGACCTTATACCATGCAAATACAATTTAGCTACACTGATTTAAACCTCCATACTCTCCGGTCTCCATCAACTTATGAGATTATCATATTCGATGAACCAATGGTTTCAAGCGGAATCATGAAATCAAATAAGTATGTAACTTTGTTCTACTTCATAATATCAACTATGTTGTAGATAAAAATTCCTATTGCTTGGATAATTAATAAGTTGTGTGTTTTTGTAAAAAAAAAATAGTATTATTATTATTTTACCTTTTTTGATAACTATTTGCATCTTATGTGTGTGATTGACAAATGTTTCGGCTGGATAATTTGTTAAAAATTCGCTATGAACCTCAGAAAAAAAAATCATTTTGCAAGTTGCTATAAAATCCGTTCATTTAGAAAACTGGAGTGTAACATCATCCTCACGAAATCAATATAATGGATAATGATTTGCGGTTAGAAAGAAGTTATAACAATTTTCTAGAATTTTCGTTTAACATGTTTCGATATACAACTTCTTATAACAGCTTTGACATACATCATTTTCTTATAGCAATCAAAGTCACCTTATACAAATGCGCATTTCACACCACCAAACATACATTAGATTACAACATTGATCCCCTTTGAAACACTTATATGACAATGACACTAAATCAGCAATGTTGTTTATCGAATTATGGAAAAATCAATTTGGTTATAGTTTTGTACCACATTAGACATAAACGAAAACTAATTTCCATGAAAAAGGTAGTATCAAACACAATATTTGGTTTCTCCCACCGTATTATTACTCTTCTCAAAACACTTGATACTCAAAAGTTATATCATTTTATTATCTAAACTTTCAAGCAACTAGTTATCTTCAATGCCATTCAACCACAGATTCTAAACAATGATTAAAAATTCCATATATGTGTCAACATAACTTTTCACTTCAAACCCATGGGAGACAGAAGAATGGAATCATAGTAAACTTTTTTCAATAATAAATTGGTCCCGAATATGTCTAAAACCCTCATTAAACATCACAATTAGCCACACCAACCAATAGTCTTGTTTGTTTTGAATCCAAACTCAGATTGCTGCTGTGATTCAGGATCTGCAGGTGGTCTATATTCCTTTGGCTTTGCAGGATCCACAAAAATAACCCATCCATCTAAGAACTTTGCATTCATTCCTTCACGAGCTTTCTCAGCTTCTTCTATTGATGCATATGTCACAAATGCAAACCCCTTTGATCTTTGAGTAGCCCTATCCATGATCACTTTTGCTGTAAAGTTTAATAAAGATTCAGCACCATTGTTTTCAACATGGCAAAATTAAGAAATTTACAGAAGGTGAATATAGTTTCTTTACCCTCCACAAGCTGGCCAAATGGTTCAAATGCTTCTTTAAGTTTTTCATCAGTCGTGTTTCTGTTTAGGCCTGCACATAACATCAAGCGATGTAACAAATTGGAGATAGATACCAATTCCATTATCGAATATACAGGAAATACAATTTTCAAAAACCATTGCAATCTTCTAATTTGCTCTAAAAATTTGACAATAAATATTTTGACCATTGAATCATTGGAGCGACATATTTGAGAATTTGATCGAACAAATAAAACCTCAGATTGACCATGAACTTGAAGTTGAAACTTAAGATGTAAAAAGAAGGTATTCCGTTCGCGCGTACGCAATAAAGACTAAAATTTTAAGCAGAGAATTAAAATATTCACAAAGTTGTAAACTTACCGCTGATAAATAACTTTGGGGCAGTTAAAGTTGAGTTGAATCGAGCTGAAGCGAACTGAGAGCTCATAATAGAAGATGGTCCGTTGAGAATGCGACGAAAAGCCGACGAAAAAGCCATCTCTAAAAACAGATAAATGCAAATTAGTGGGAAAGAGGAGAAATCAGGGTTTACTTGATAAACCCTAGCTTTGCAAGAACGAGAAGGCTTTCGAGTTTCGAGTAGGGCCTACGAGACTACGAATGCTATTCATGTTTCCAAAATTTACGAACTACCCCCAACACTTTTGTATATTGTAATTGAGATCCTATAGTTTTACTATTATATACATAACTATTAATAACAATCAAATTTTCAACATCTCTGCAAACGTGTATTAGACTAATTCAGAGTCAACTTGTATTCCATATATTTAGGAGTATTCAGTTGTATTTCTGTATATAAATACCTGGTGTATATCGTTGTATTTCACAATCAATAGAGTGAGATTATCCTCTTTACTTCTGGACTCTTTTATGGTATTAGAGCAATCTTGATTTTTTTTCTTTTTCATGGCTCACAACAACCAACATATTTTGGGGTTCGCTACTGGCTCCTCTTTTCAAATACCTTCCATGAGCATCAAACTTGAGACCTCCAACTTTTGTCTTTGGCGTACAAACATTATATCTACTCTGGAAACCTTTGATCTTGAATCATTCATTCTTGACCCTCAGCCACCACCAGAAACCATCACCACTGAATGTGAAGGTGCTCCTCCTACTGTTGCTCCCAATCCAGAGTACACCTTGTGGAAGCGACGTGATCGCTATGTTCTTCTCTGGTTGAAATCTACACTTGCTGAAAGAGCCCTTGCCATTGATAGTTTTGGTGTTTTTTTAAGAGTTTTGATTTGATTGAACATTAAAGTTTCATGAATGTCGCTATTTAGCCATCAATATAATCCTAGTCTGATCGGAAAATAAGGATCATCAATCGATCAAAGTGTGCATGCTTTCCAATAGTATGAATTCAATCTTTCAAAATTGCAACTCAACAAATTCAATCATTTTCATATATGAAAGATGCTTTCTTGGCAAATGAAGTGGCATCAATATCTACCACTTCAGAAGAGAGGATTGTGTATATGCAAGGAGAAGTTATCAAAGTCCTGAAAGCTTTAGAAGTTGTGATGGGACATTTAAGGAGGTTTTTGGTAGATCATATTGTCTTCTTTTGTTTGGGAAGATTGTAAATGATTATCATTTAATTTAGTTATCTTGAAACTATAATAACATTGTTGTTTATGTGAATAATAGGCAATGTTTTTTTATTGAAACAATGTAGGGGCGGTCACACAAGAATTCCAACAAGTGGAAACATGGGTTGAGAATTGGTAGTGATTGTACTCTTCCAATGAGGAGAGAGACATTCTTTCTAGATCTTGAGCCCTAAATAGAGCCACACATTTCATCCCATGGCCTTTCATTATATGGCCGTGACCCGACGTGTTCTCTGAGACGACGACTGTCGGTGGTGTCAACGGCTGACGATAATGACTGAGGGTGGTGGTGTTTCTAGAGAGTGGAGCTAATGAATGGTTAGAGGGGTAGACTTCATGAATGGTCCATGTGGTTTGTAAAAGACAACTTCACCCTCACATACCTTACACGTGTTGTGATTTAACGGACCAAAAGTGATGGTGCAAACCAAAAAGACTATCTATGAAAACATAAGTGAAAACCTCATAAAAACTTAATGTATTTTCATCAAATGCTTAAAAAAACCACTATATTATTTTTTTAGTGCACAAAAACCCTTATATTTTCTGAAATTCTTAATTAAAGTTTTCTACACTTAGAAAAACCTAATCTATTTTCATGAAAGGATTAAAAAAACCATTATATAATTTTTTGCAGTGCATTTAAACCCTCATATTTTTTTTAATTTTTTTAATCTAATGAGTTGTAACAATCAAAACGTTGTGAATCGATTACATAACATTTTTAACTATTTAGGATTTACCAAACTCAATACCTTAAATGATATATTTTTAAAAAAATATAAGAGTTTTAACATACATTTTAAAAAATATAAGGGTTTTAACGTAAAAAAAAATTATATAGTAGTTTTTTTAAGGCTTTGATGAAAATATATTGGGTTTTAATAAGGTTTCCGGAAACATAAACAATCTTTTAGGAAAAAAAATGAGGAATTGAACTTAATACTATAGAAAACCACATAAAACCATTTATGGGGATTTGTTCTTTAACAAATGAAAAAAAATAAATAAATAAACAATCATGTTAATCCTAATAATTTCTAAGATTTAAAAAAAATGATTGTTTTCATGAATTTCGTAGGTCTTATCTACAAAATTAGTACATAGGAAATCATCAAAATAACGTTCTTTAGAAAAAAAAAAAATTTCTGCATGTATAAACTACATAAATTCATGTTTCACATACGAAACAAAAAACTAAATAAAACTGTGGCAACTTTTCTAACAACCATTTTTGCAAAACAAATCATTTTTCTAACCTGCGGAATGTAAATTTAAACATCCAAAAACATTAATTTTTTTTTTTTAATCGTAAATGGTAGATTGTTGTTTTTTCTGTTCCATTTCCTATGTAGAATTTCTCAACAGGCACAACAAAAAACTTAATGTGATTTAAAAATAGAAAAAAAAAAAATTATATAGAGAGGTACATTCGGGTCCATTTCGCAGCCCCATAATACTTTTTACAGCCCAAAACGATGATTTTCAGCCCATTAATGATTTAACAGTCTAAAACTCTAAATGACAAATTTGTAGGCGTCATTTATGAAAATCAGCTATTTGTGACATTTGGTTAAATTTTAAACTTTCTTTTTGGAAAAATCTTATTTTAGATTTTTTTTCATTAACTATTTGAGTTGGAGAAATAAATAAAGAAACTAAATATTTTCTTTCTATTTAAATATTAATATATATCAAATTTAATAAAATTAATAATATTTTAATATAATTGTCAATAAATACAATAAGAAAATAGTAAGGATATTTAATTTCTCCGAATAAACAAAGCCATGATTAGTTTCTAGTTTTTAGACACAATAAATTTGATTTTAGCAAGATGCGGAAAGATATCTTGCGGGGATGGATAACGGTAATCCCACCAGATAAGAGAGACCCAAACTTTCTCTCTCTCCTTTTCCAGTTTCCAGTCATCACTCTTCCATGGCGCTTCTGCAATCCGCGCCTTCTACTAGTGGGAGTTCTACACAGTCGCCATTGACAAACCGCCCTCTCATCCACACTCCCTTCATATTCCCTTCCACATCCTTCAAATTACCCCCAATTTCTACTAACTACTCCCTCAAGCACAAACACAACAACTATCGCTTCCGCATTCGTGCATCGACAACTCTTGAATCCACCAATGGCGCTGCCACCATAGCCGTCGGCCTTGATAGTCCCTCTTCCACCGTCAACACCTCCGGTATTCCTTATGGCAGACAGTATTTCCCTCTTGCCGCAGTTGTTGGACAAGTACGTCTTCTCGTATATATGCATTTTTGCTGATCTGAGATTGTATTGTTTGCTTTTATTACATCTCGCAAGTCGCAACAACTCAAACGTGTTAGAGGAATTGGCAATGATGCTTATTCAATCAACTGTAAACATTCATATATTATTATGTCATCTAACAGGATGCTATTAAAACTGCTCTTCTACTTGGGGCAATTGATCGTGAGATTGGAGGAATCGCAATCTGTGGCAAAAGAGGAACGGCTAAAACAGTTATGGCACGCGGATTACATGCAATTCTGCCACCAATCGATGTAGTTGTTGGTTCAACTTCAAATGCTGATCCAGCCTGCCCAGAAGAGTAAGGTTACCAAATCTCTTAACAAAATTTATGTGAACTCCAGATTACATTCCTTGATGCTTGATATTTAAAGAATTGCAATGTTTCCTTGTACTTAGTCGGCTGACAACAAAACGTTGTTTGATATATAATAGATGGGAAGATGGACTTGCTGATAGAGTGGAATATGACTCTGCTGGTAATGTGAAGACCCAAGTAGTTAGATCACCGTTTGTGCAGGTGGTATCAGTGGGAAAATATTGTGATGCTTTTAGCATAATCATCTTCTTTAAATTAACCCTAATTGCTTTCTTTTTGCAGATTCCACTTGGTGTTACAGAAGATCGATTAATTGGATCTGTTGATGTTGAGGAATCTGTCAAGAATGGAACAACTGTGTTCCAGCCAGGTCTTCTAGCTGAAGCACACAGAGGAGTTCTTTATGTTGATGAAATCAACTTACTGGATGAAGGGATAAGTAATTTGCTCCTTAATGTGTTGACTGATGGTGTTAATATTGTTGAGAGAGAAGGAATCAGCTTTCGTCACCCATGCAAGCCACTGTTAATTGCTACTTATAATCCTGAAGAGGGTTCTGTACGTGAACATTTACTCGATCGTATTGCAATCAATTTAAGGTAGACTTCTTATACTTATTAACAATTCAAACAATACATACAGTTTATTGAAATCTTTATTCTGCAGTGCAGATCTTCCAATGAGCTTTGAGGATCGTGTTGCTGCTGTAGGAATCGCAACACAGTTTCAGGAACAAAGTAAGGAGGTTTATAAAATGATGGAGGAAGAAACAGACTCTGCAAAGACTCAGGTAATCTAATCACTCATGCAAGTTAATTTTTAAAATTCTAAATTGGTAGTGAAATATCTGCTGTTTTTATACAGATTATTTTGGCAAGAGAATATTTGAAGGATGTAAGCATTAGTCGTGAACAACTCAAGTATCTGGTCATGGAAGCAATGCGTGGTGGTTGCCAGGTAAATCTGTAAGAATTTAGACATCTCATCATTCATCAAGATTCAAGAAGAAATTATTTTTGAAATATAACTGAATAAAGATGTTTAAAATCATGGGTTCAATAGATCTTTAAATGTTTGATGAGGTTTACTACAGGGACATAGAGCTGAACTATATGCTGCACGTGTTGCCAAATGTTTAGCCGCTTTTGAAGGTCGTGAAAAAGTCAGTGTGGATGACCTCAAGAAATCTGTATGTATCTCATTTTGGAACTTCTTGTTTAAAAAATAAATTATTTTTTCATTTTTTTCAAAGTTCTTTCTCCACTATCAGGTAGAACTTGTGATTCTTCCTCGTTCAATGATAAACGAAAACCCGCCAGATCAGCAGCAGCAGCCACCACCCCCGCCACCTCCTCCACAAAATCAAAATTCTGAGAACCAGAATGAAGAAGAGGAGGAAGAGGTGAGTCGGTCAACATGGTCAAACTTATTAATTACTGTAGGAAAAAAAAAATATACGTGGATGCTAATGATTGGATATTTATCATTATTATTATATAAACAGGAGGAAGATAATGAAGATGAAAAGGATGAAGAAAATGAACAGCAACAAGACCAATTACCTGAAGAATTTATCTTCGATGCAGATGGTGGTCTGGTGGATGAAAAACTTCTCTTTTTTGCACAACAAGCACAAAGAAAAAAAGGGAAAGCTGGAAGGGCTAAAAATGTCATTTTCTCTGAAGACAGAGGTCGATATATCAAACCAATGCTTCCCAAAGTCGGTTTAACTTTAATATATCTTTTACTCTATAAAGTTTCAAAGATTTCTGCTTTTGTTTTGACCAAATGGGTTGACTTGAAACAGGGTCCTGTAAAACGATTAGCTGTTGATGCAACATTAAGAGCAGCTGCACCTTATCAGAAATTGCGTAGGGAGAAAGACACACAAAGTCTTAGGAAAGTTTATGTGGAAAAAACAGATATGAGAGCTAAAAGAATGGCTAGGAAAGCAGGTGCCTTGGTAAGTAAAGCATGTTGTCATATTGGATGACTAAATTTGAGAAATTATTTTTATTCATATGTGTTGTTTTTTTTTTTTTTTTTTTTTTTTTTTTTTATACAGGTTATATTTGTGGTTGATGCTAGTGGAAGCATGGCATTAAATCGGATGCAAAATGCAAAAGGTGCAGCACTTAAACTGTTAGCAGAAAGCTATACAAGTAGAGATCAGGTAATGTAATTTATTTATTATTGAATCTTTTAATAATTTGTTGAATTTATTTATAATGTTGAAATTTTTTTACAGGTGTCAATTATTCCGTTTCGTGGAGATGCTGCAGAAGTGCTTTTGCCTCCTTCCAGATCAATCTCAATGGCTAGGAAAAGACTCGAGAGGCTTCCATGTGGTGGTGGTTCTCCTCTTGCTCATGGACTTACCACGGTATTATTATTTTTTTGTTAAATAAAAAATAATAATAAAATTTGAAGTAGTTTTTTGTTGGGGGGCACAGGCGGTTAGGGTGGGGATGAATGCGGAGAAGAGTGGAGATGTTGGGCGGATAATGATTGTGGCGATAACTGATGGGAGAGCCAATATTTCACTTCAAAGATCTAATGATCCAGAAATGGCTGCAGATGCACCAAGGCCTTCTTCTCAAGAGTTGAAGGTAGTAAAACAATTTACAAAATACAAAAACTGTATTATTATTTATTACACTAATAATAATTTTATATTTTTATTGAAAGGATGAGATACTTGAAGTGGCTGGTAAGATTTATAAAGCGGGAATGTCTTTGTTGGTGATTGACACGGAGAATAAGTTTGTTTCAACTGGTTTTGCTAAAGAGATTGCTCGAGTGGCTCAAGGTATGAATTACTGTTCCAAACACACCAATTTTTTTTTTTTTTTTTTTTTTTGACTGATATTGTTTGTGTATTAGGGAAATACTATTACCTGCCTAATGCATCGGACTCTGTTATCTCGGCTGCAACAAAGGATGCTTTGTCAGCTTTGAAGAACTCTTGAATAACAAAATCATAACAACATCCACATTGTAATAACGCTTTTTTGTTGGAAACGAGACACAAAATGGCTTTTCATTGTGATTGAAGTTTTTTTTTTTTTTTTTTTTTGAGCCATGTTGATGTAAGTTTTGGTATATATCCAAATTGTAACAGTATTACTTGTCCTAACTGTGCAACCCATTAGGTTCAGATGATATGCTATCTTTTTGTACTATTGCAATTGTGATGGTTTTAATGGAAGTAACATAGAAACAACACAACACAAATCACACAAGTGTGACACCAAGGTACACTTTATTTCAAATGCTACTAGGATGATACATTTTATTTCGTCATGGGTTAACAAATTTACATAAACGTAGGTGCATAAAAGAAAATATATTTTAACAATTTATAACACATCCAAAACATGTGATACATACAAGAATACATAAGTTGTTTGCTTAGTGAGTAGTTATGGTTTTGATATTTAGCACAAACATTTAATGCAAAAGTAATTACTGCATACTTTCTTATTACATTTTTCATCCCGTGGAAACATTATTGCTAAGAGATCAGCTAGCATTGGGTTGTATTTAACATGTATAAAACTTTCATGCTAACTCACCATAAAACATCTCTTTGAAATATCATCCGAATTCCGAACAAAATAACATGGTAAGTAACTTCAAAAACATAGAATATACATATAACATATATATGTATCCTATTAAATCACATAAATATTCACTTTTCTTTGAGCTTGCTTTTAGAACATGGTACATTCATGAGAAGATTATACATGTTGTACTTGTTGTACCTTATCTCCTTAGAAGCTTACATCTAATGTAGTTGTCTTAACTTGTCTCTTTAGACGCTTACACCTTATGCTTCTAGCTCTCATTTGTCATCTACTAGCTTAGCTTCATCGCTAAAATCCTGTTTCTATACCTACTTGTAGAACCTATGTATATGATGTAAGCACCTTTGTAAGCATATGGTAAACTACTTGTATGTTTGCTTACTTATTTCCAACTTTTTTTTTAAAATAAAATTTGTAATATTTTTTCTAAAACAAACATTCCCTAAGTGTGCCCTATAGTTGCTTATGTCTATTTATAGTACAAGGAGTCAAGGATCTTAACTAATCCCTTATAATTGTGTATTAACAATTTTATACATGTCTATTTTCCTGAAGGGGACAGAATATGTGTATATATATATATATCTGAAAACATAGTACCTTGCCTTCATTTTTAGAAACAGGGGTGTTACAAGATAATATTATTTGCTTCATCAGTTAATTCTGAAATCCATTAGGTTCAGATGATATGCTATCTTTTCGTAGTATTGCAATTGTGGTGGTTTAATGGAAGGAACAACATAGAAACAACACAACACAACTCAAATTAAACAAGATAACAGTATTTGCTTCACAGCTAATGATTGCACCAAAATGCATTGACAACCTCGGAGTGCAAGGAAACTATCATCAGATCATGAACATTAGAAAAACAAAGTATAACAAGTGCTCATACAAATTTAAAACTTGTACTTCAAATTTACAATCCAACTTTAAACGAAAGGCAATCTCCTCCATTCACGTACACACTAATCAGTCTTCAATTGAAAAGAGAGAATATAAAACAAGCAACTCACTCACTGTAGATCTTTGGCAGTAACACCATACTTTTCCTGAAGTTTCGTAAGCTCTTCTTCTTTCTTCTTTTGATCAAATTTCTTACTCATCTTGGCCTGCTGATAATACAAGACAATGAGGTAGCGATTGGCAACGTTAAAACCGGAAAGATGATCGACTGCTGTTTTGGCATCGTAGATATCTTCGTAGACGACGAAGGCAGTGCCTCGCGTATCCTTGTTGGTTCCGATACGTATCTGGCGAATTGCACCGTATTTTCCGAAAATATCGTACATCTCTTCGGAAGTGATGTTGAATGGCAAGTTGCGTACGTAGAGGACCCTGTTTACTTCTGGTGGGAGCCTTGTGTTTCCCTTTCTTAAATTGATTGTTGCCATTACAGATTGCTCGTTCGCGAGATTGAAAAATTTAGGGTTCTGAAAAAGGATTTAGGGGTTTTGGTTTTGATCGACTAGTAATTGTTATACTCCTCTTGTTCAAACCTGAAACTGCAAAAGTTTAAAGTAGCCCCCTCTATTTGAAAGAGATTACAAATACAAATTCCATTTTTGTTACTCGAGTTTTTTTTTTTTTTTTAAACCTAAGAAATAATTTGTAGTATCATTATATATACTTATACTAATAAATAAAATACTGGAAAATAAATATGCTTACAAATATCCAGGAATCCAGACAAACTAGCACTATGATATTTCACTGTACTAAAATGTCAAATTTTGTCTATTTTTTGTAACACAATGGAAAAAGAAAAACAAGTTAAGTTCTTTTTTTCGCACTAAATAGCAACTACTTAAATCATAAGATTGGATTTGACCAACGAATAGCAACTACTTAAATCACAAGATTGGATTTCACCAACGAGACGAATATATGATTGTCGGAAGAAATGAGAGTTACACTTTTTCTGATATCGGTGACTAGGTACTCAAGTCATTTGATTTTATGAATTCTTACTTTTTTTTTTTCAAGATTGAGTTGTTGAAACTACCACAGTCCACACAGACCACTATAAGTCACTTTATTTATTAGTCGGACACCAATAACCGATACATCGTCTTCTATTTTGGAGTTGTTCATTAACGTTGTAAAACAAGTTTCCAAAAATGGTCTTGTATTCATGAACGGACAAGCGGACAGATGGGAGTCGCAAGAGACGAGAGTTAGAAGAGATAAGAAAGGGTAGGGCGTTGGTGGCTTTTAGGTTGCACATAGTCTTTCTAGTTTGGTTGTTTGGGAGCGAGTTCAAGGCAGTACCCACGGTACCGTCACCTATACGACACCAAAAAAGACACCGAGAAAAGATAGTATTGAAGATTCGATGGAAGAACGAGTTGGGTAACCCTTGTCATCCCACATCTCTTTATACTCTCACTATTCTTGATCTTTGCCGACAATCATTTTTTCCTTTTTGACCAATCTATAAATACCACACACAACCACTTCAAAGCCACACATTCTCCCATATTCCATTCCAACTTTCTCTGATTCCATATAAATTCTCTCCTCTTTCATTCCAACTTTCTCAAATTCCATTTCAAATGGATTTTAATTGTGGCAAGTCAAAAAAAAAGTTTAAGCCAAAAGGCAACCAATATAATAAAATGGAAAACGGTTCTCCACACTTTATTCCAACTTCCAAGTACCCACCATATCAACCCCAATATAACCAACTACCCATGAACATTTGTATAGCCAACTTTCTTAATCTGATCATTTATTATCCACAATCAATTCCCAAACCCGATTTGATGCGTGTATGGGTTGCTTTGTATTGAGATTGAATAGTGTTTGAGACAAAAACAATAAAATGATAGATTTGATAAACTAGACCTATAGCTTGTAAATTTGAAGACAAACTAAGACCTACAAGTCTGAATTCGATCAACTCAAGGATCACGTCCAAAAGATGATAATTTGTGAACTATGACAATAATTCAAAGTGAGCAAAAGGGTTCTTTTTATTAAAATTCGACTATATCATTTCCATTCATGCACTTGGCTGTATATGAACCCTTATTACAAAGTTGGTGGTTACAAGCCAACCAACCAACTAATCATTAAAACTACTAAATGAAAATTAAGGAAACTCTTGAAATAACACAAAAAAAAAACATCCAAGGCACTTGAGTATGAAAAAAACATCCATGCTCCATTAAGGAGCCATAAGAGGCATTAAAGTGTAACCTTAATCCACAAAAGAGTGTCAAAAACGGCTAGGAGGCTTTATGAAGCAAAGAGTAACGTTTTTTTAGCACTTATGAAGCCTTAAAAGTGTTGCCCTAGCCTTCATCATGCAACCCTAATTTAATTTGTGGGTTACCATGTACAACCCAACCATAGAGCCCAAACCACCTTTTAGCCCACTAATAATCACTAATCCATCATTTTTTGGGCTTTCATGATCCATGCATTATGGATCATCCCCTCCCCCTTTGAAAGGAATTGACCTCATTTCATTAAGGCCATCATCATCAAGATAAGGTGAAAGATCTCCTACATTAAAGGCATGCATTCCATGGTCTCCTCCTAAATCCAAATTGTAACCATTATCATTTTCAGAATTTGTCACTTCCACACATGTATCACGATTCCAATATTCCATTCCTGAAGCATTGTAATTTCATCATGAGATATTTTAAAACGAAAGCTTTTATAGAAGAGATGATATGAAATATTTTAAAAGTCCACAACAAATGTTTAAGCGTCAAAATATAGGGTGAGAATCCCCATCCCCATCCAAAAGGACCAAAACATCATACTCAAACATTTACACAGCCTCTTTGATGCATATTTTCATCTGATTCCAACGTTGAGGCTGGGGCTAAACAGATTCTTGCTGAAACACCACAACAGAAGCAATGAAAAGGAAATAAAGTGCCATCAACATACTCACAACGTTCTAAAATAATATCGTCATTGAAATCACCGACCTCGCCCATCAAAACAAAGAAGAGGGATGGGAGAAAGCGACACCTTGAAGAAAAATGTGTATCACGGAAGCTACTGAGCAAAAGAAAATGACACTCTTGGAGGAGGATTTATAAGCGCTTAAGGAAAAACAAGAGGAAAAAGAGATACACCACATAACTATTTGACCTCATGAAAAAATAGCAAATTACAGCTGTCTATGATTGTGAATTGTTGAATTTCATTTTAGAATTTAATCATCATTTTATGATTTTTTTTAATTATCTTTTCGTGAACTTAATTGTCGTTTTATGAGTTTATTTAATGTTTGTAGTAATTTATATTTTTGAATGAAATTTATTTTAAATTTAAGTTTTATTTATTAGTAAATGTTTGATTTTAAAAAAATAATAATTAATTATGTGAGTTAGAAATGAGAGATGAAAATAAATAAATTAAAAATTAATTTGATAATGAGGTGACATATTGATTGGGAGGGTGTTTGGGAGGGTGTGAGGAATCAACTTTCTCAACCCTTAGGAAAGAGGATCTAAGGAGTTGGTAGAGAATAAAAAGGAAGTGGTGAATGAGATTAGATCTCAATAAAGTAATAAATAAATAAGATAAAAATATTATTTTGTAGTGACTTAAAAGTAGATACAACTTACAATAACAGTAGTTACTACCGATGCTTGAAAAAAAACCATTTGTGTAAGATTTTGAAGCCCTAAGGATTAGTGGTCTGCAATGGATTGCAAAAACACTTGCTTAAAGTTTTTGAGTTGTGCGTTTTTCAAATAGTCATGATGCATAAAATGTTGTTCCTGTTTGGAGAAATAATCAATAATACCGCCAACTTATTAGAGGATGATGAAGGAATAGTTGCCAAACTACACCCGGAGTAAAACATTGAGTGATAGATAGATAATCCCCCGGTAAACCTTTTTTAGCCAATTGCCTTCCATCACAAATTGTAAGATTATGCAAAGAATTGTGCTTTTTACTTTTTAGTCTTCTTTCTTCTTTAATCTCCATAACCACTTAGCAAGTAAAGCCAAATTGCATTATCTAAGGCTTCCAACCCCAAGAAACCCAAATTTTTTAGGCCGTATTGCATTTTACCACGGAACCAACATATTTTATTTTTATCTACTAACAACCCCTATGAAATCTTCTTCTCAAAACTTTAAGGGCCTCCTTAATCGTGTTTGGGGCTTTAAAGAGTGAGGAATAGTATAAGAAAAGACTACACAACACCGGTTAAGTCTACCACCAAATGATAGATTTTTCACCTTCCATAGGCTCAACTTAGACTTTAATTTGGTGACAATCGGCTCCCAGTTTTTAGCAAGCTTGTGGTTAGTGTAACCAGGTACATCACCAACCAAACAAGTTTTGGTTTTAGAATAACTAGCTTTCCATTAAACTCTATGATTTCACTAGTCAATACAAGTTAATTTCCAAAGATAGAGTTAATTTGAAAATTATTTCCTATGTATTCGATCAAAGATTCCAAAAAGTGAAAAGTTATGGACCCAAGATGATTTTAGCAATTTTATATACACAAAATAACTAATAAATTAGATGAAGAGTAAAATATTCGAGAAAGAAACATACAAAAACCATAAACCCAAAACCCAAAACCTTGCAATAAATTGCAAAAATAAAGGTTAAGGTTAAACAATGGCAAAATTTGACGAAATTCAAGAACCATTTTTTGTAATTTACTCCTTTGTTTTATCTATCCAATAACCATATATATAAATGATCTAAAGTCATCATCTTCCAAAGTACGTTCCCCAACACATGTGAAGGAAAAAACAACAAAGCTTAGTTCATGCTTCATAAGAAAAAAAAAAATAGTCAGAATTCAAACCGCCTATATATATAAAAAAAAAAAAAAAAAAAAAAAAAAAAAAAAAAAAAACTAAAAAGAAAAGTTTGTATATGTTTTCAGTTAAAAAAACTTAAAACTTAATATAATAAACAAATAGATGAGTAGTGTAGTAGTATCACGATGTAGATGTAGATGTAGCACGATGCAATTCCTTCTCCAGCATTGATGTCCCTTTGAATATGGTGAGCTGGATGTCCCTCGAGTACTGTGTATACTGTATGTAAAATTGACATCATTTATTATTACCATTAAAACCAAAAATATAAATTAATAGTAATATTTACCCGATCGTCACTCATCTTTCTGAAACCCAATTTTTTAGTCCAAATTGACTCGGCTTCTTCAGCAGCAGGAAGCACAAGGAGTTCAACACCCAATGACAACAGTAACTCCTCAATACAAAAGAACAGAGCTTGAAAATATCCCTACAAATTATAAATTATTTTAATAATATACTAAAAAGAATATAATCCTATAATATATATCAACACTGCATGCATTCACCTTCCCTTGGTGTTGTCTACTGGTAGCCACCAGGGGTAGCTCAGCCACCTCCCGCCCGAAAATTCTCAGAAGCCCTGCAGATACAACTACTGACCTGCCCATGTATGTATATATGTCACTTGATAAATCAAATACTTGAAAAAAAAAAACATATAATTTAAAAACATTAACACACCCTGCCATCAGAACAACACAATATATCCCACCAAACTCCTGTCCAGATATATTTCTCCTGCAAAAGTGGAGGGGGGCAAATTGAAAACTTGTAGAATTTCAAGGTTGATAAAAGATGAAGTTCAACCAAAGCATACCCGTATACCATTACAGGGATAAGATCACGGCCAGATGTCGCTACAATGGGATCAAAACACTCCTGCCACACCAAACCCAAACCCAAACCCAGATTAATTAAAATTTAAAAAAAAAAAATGCAATAAGCAAATGTTATTGCAAATGGTAAAAGGACAAATATGCCCACCCGGAAAATGGCAGCAGCCCTTGAGAGGAGGGGCAAATGTTCAGGATAGCGGCTTTTCCCACTTAACATCCGCCATCTAATCTCATTTGTGACTCCTCCTTTGTCTACATGTTGATTTTTCCTGTTTATTATACTCAAAACTGGAGCCGAAATTACAGTTGCGCCATTCACAACCACATCTTGAATAGCACCATGGATCATATCACAGTGATCACAACAAAACCATTTATCCGATGGGAGTGCCTTCAGATCACATCTCCCGCTCTCTCTTAAACAACCAACATGGTACTCTTTCTCACACTACAACAATATTAAAATAAATACATATCAAGTTAACATAACAACAAACAATATATTCCAATTTACCTACCTGATCACATAGCATTACAGTTCGATCATCAAACTCTGCAACACTGAAATCATGAGCCCTACAGATAACACAACCACCAGTTTCGTATTCTCGGGCTTTAACAACACGTGTGAGTCTGATCACAATGGGTCTTGACTCTGTAGCAGATGCTTTTCTACCAGAACCAGACCCAATACTGTCTCTACAGTATGGGCAATGCCAGTCTTCAGATGAAACACCATCTACTACTCCCAGACAAACTGAAAGCTAGAAGCTTATATATATTAGATATTTAGATTTAGATTGAATATTTAACTAAAATGAACAGATAAAGCTTTCACCTGCATGGAAAGCACGAGGGCATCCATCACAAATCATCAGCTCTCCTCTGTCACCACATACTGCACACATGTCATCACTGTTGCTGGTTGTGATACTTTGACCATTTGCAAGCAACAGAGCTATATCATGGAGTGTTAGCCCATTAGGGATATAAATATGCCGATACCTGATAATCAAGATATGAAAATGGATATTATTAGATTCACTAATGTTAAAAATCAATCTACAAGTTTGCTTCTAGAAACACCACTCACGGTTGACGTTTGGCAGCCCATCCAGCATGAGCTTCAAACTGTGAAGGACTGATCTGTCGCAGCAAAGTAAATGAATTAATATTTTATGAAGAAAATTGAAATACAAAGAACATGATGATAATGTTTACCTCAGTGTCACAATGGCTACAAACTATACCGGTTCCTTGCTTGTAACCCTCAAGTATTTTCTGCAAAAAGAATATATACATTTGAGGATTTTATGGCATGATAAAAATAGAATATCTGATTATTTGATTTAAACAAACAGACAACAGTCACCTTTCCTCTGGCATAATAAGCCAACTCGGTTCCATCAGGAAGTCCATTTGGCATAAATAGTAAGCGGTGTAAATCATTATCTCTGTCAATTTTCATCACATAAAAGAGATTTCAGGAGTGAAAATGTAACACACAACAAAGACCAAATTACCCTTTGCCTACCTTTTCTTATGGCCACCTTCAGCATTTCGTTTTGTTTCAACAGCAGTGCTAGATGTGTATGACCTTGGCCTATATACATATATATATATATACAAGGAAGTATTGTAATACACTGATACTGATATGCATGTATGTGTGTATGTGTGTGTGAGAGAGAGAGAGAGGATACAAGAAAGAGCATACTTTTTGAATTGGGTTTTCCGCTCTTTCGTGGTGTCACTAACAAATGTTTGAGGTTCCAAAGCTGAGCTCTTACGATAAGAATAATACGGGATAGGACCATCTTCTCTTGTGTGATTGGTGCAGCTAAAAAAAACATAAATCAAAAATTTTAATAACCTGATAATCTATAAAATCCAAGAAAAAAGGCTGTTACTACTTACTACTGCTTAAGGAAAAGGATAGAAGAAAAGATATAAGAGCAAGAGAAATGGTATGCACCTTGTTGTAGAATGATACAAGTTCATAAGCTTCATATGATGATTATTGTCTGTTTTACCCCTGTCCGTGTTTCCTTGAAGACCTCCTGTGCAGATTACAAGAAAATGTAACAAAAAGAAGTAATAAAAGACTTTCATCTATAAATAACAAAAATGCCATCAGCCTCACCTTTCCAAACCTGAAGGAATTCCTCATTAACAGATGAACCAGCTACGTTTCTTATTGCTTCATCTACTGTGTTGGGAGGAGAATTCTTCATTGCCTGAATTATACTGTATACAGGTTTTCCATTCTCCAGATATATGTGATTATTAGGGTGCCTAGTTTTTCCACCAGCATGTTCCTCAAACTCATGAGCACGAAGAATCTGAATGCATCATTCAATCATTACTCAAGTGTAGCAAATCCAATACCAAAAATACACCATTTTAATGAAAAAAAAAAAAAAAAAACTTACATTAGAAAAATTGCATGATGCACAACCACATAAATAGCCACAATCCTTCACAATTCCAATAAGCTCCCCCTGGTGCCCAAATTCTGTTAAGATAAGAATATATTTGCTGAAAATACTAGTAAATAGATATGCAACTTACTGAAGCAGAAATATATTTCACTTTTGCTCCCTCGAGAATCCCAGTTGATAAGAGTCTTTTAACAGTTGTAGGATAACTATCAGGAACAACCTTTTCAGTCGTTGCTTCAAGGGTATTAGGATATAAAAGAGAGTCCCCAGTTTCATGCAACCTGGGTGCCTTACGGGTCCCGTTTGTGAAAGAATTGCCTGTTGACTTTGCAGTAGAAGCAGACAGTTGACTATCATACTCTTCCTTGCGTTTACTGAATTTGAAAGTAATTTTCCTAATACCAGAAGAAGTACTTGCATGCTTTGGAACCTCAAGTACAACATGTGATGTATCATTTGTAGTACCATGTTCATCTTGGCTTGAGCTCCCCTCACTGCTTGATGATGTAATTTCACCACAAACAGTTTGGTCTTTTATGACTTGTTTTCCATCTGGTTGACTATTAACAGTCTGAAAACTTGAAGAATTGTCACGAGGTGATACATTGGGATTTGAAACTTCAGAGCATATATCATCATTTGAAGCCTCCTTCACCTCCTTCTTGGTGCAAGGATCTATTACCAGTTCAGTATCATTTAAGGCATCTGTTGTCTGCTTTATGACAGAAGACTCTGTTCCAGTATCATTTACAACTTGGGTTATATGGTTCATAACAGGAGGCTTTATTTCATTATCAGTTAAGCTTTGTGTTGTCTGTTTACTTCTAGAAACCTCCATTTTCATCTCAAGCAGTGAATCTTTGACAGGTTTTTGAACAGAATATTCTGGTTCACTCTCGTTCAAAGCCTCGGTTGTCTTCATCTTGCCACAAACCTCTGTTTCCATCTCACTTGGACATTCTTTGACATGTTGGATCTCATTCAAACACTCCTTGATAGGCTGTTGAACATTAGACTCTAGTTTCACCTCATTCAGACATTCCTTGACAGGCTGTTCAACATCAGACTCTAGTTTCACCTCATTCAGACACTCCTTGACAGGCTGTTCAACAATAGGCTCTAGTTTCACCTCATTCAGACACTCTTTGACAGGCTGCTCAACAATTGGTTCTATTGCCATCTCATTCAGACACTCCTTGACAGGCTGCTCAACAATAGGTTCTATTTCCATGTCATGTGAAACCTCTAAAGAGTGTTTCTCATTCTCACCACAAGGATCTAGTTCCATGTCATCTAAACCTTCTGTAACAGGCTGTACAGCAGAAGGATTTACATCATTATTATTATTTAAACTCTCAGTTGCTTGCTTACTTTCACAATTCTGTTGTTCTGTCACCTTCAGACATTCTTGGACAGGCTCCTCACTGGAAGCATCTTGCATATTATCGTTTAGAGATTCTGTTGGTTGCATTAGTTCCAATCCATTTGAACATTCTTTACTATCCTGTTCAACAGAAGGCTCTAGTTTTTTAATACTATTTAAACCCTCTGTGGGAGGTGTTTTAGGACATGGCTCTTGTTCAATAGAAATCAGGGCCACTTCTGAATGACTAATAGCACAAGAATCTACTTCATCATCAACTGAATCCTCTATGGCCTGTTTTTTGGGCAAGGGCTCCACATCAGAACCAACTGTTAGCCACTGATGGTCACGCTTCTGCTGAATTTTCTCGTTTTCCATTTCCCCGACATTGCTCAACACAGCCACACAAACCTCCCCTTCTCCCATCCTAAATGTTCCCCTCTACAAGTTCAGAAACTATCACGTATCAAAAAAATTCAAAATGCATAACAGCATTCTAAGTTCAAATAAATAACTATGCAAACCAAGTAAACACAACAGAAACCCTAATTCCTGAATTAGAAATTAAAACCCTCACTGGTACTCTATCAAACAACCGGACTACAATTCAATCTCTAATACCAATTATACAACAATCCAACGCACTTATCTAAGCATAAAGAGCCTACACAGAACCAACTTCTCATCAACACAATTTCGTCGATCAACAACTTCTCGGAATCCGATATTAAATGGCACAATCAATCGCTCAAAATCCGATTCTCACCGACCTCTTACAAGTAAAATAGGTTCCAACAACTTTGAATCAGAAGATATACCGTAAAATAGTGAGTCACAACATGAATCCCCCAATAAACTTTTCATGCATCCATATATGTGTATTATAAATGTACACGTGTAGATCTGGGATCAAATTTGCAAAATAGCAAAGAAGCAAACTAACCGTGAAGATCAACTTTCAAAATTAGGGTTTTTTCTTGTTCTCTATTACAATCTTCATCTCCTTTTTTGCATATTCCTCATGAACGACAACGAATAGAGCGGCAACGAACGAAACTGAATTTTTTGTTCGCGGGAGTAAGAAAAGTCGTGAGATATGGAAGGCACGAGAAGAGGGGTTACAGGGGGTGGATAGGGTAAAAGCAATACGAGTGGGCCCCGCATACAACAAACTTATAGTAAGCTGCCATGTGGTCACTACAATAGCTTTAATTCGATCATGATGGAAATGAACGGTTTAGATGTGGCAACGTAACAGCTGTACCCTATCATCTGGTGCACTACTATATCATGGGAAAACACATTCATCATCATTTACAAATCATCTTCCACATACCAACCAGTCTTTGGAAACAAATAACATTTATAAAATTTCTCTGGGTTAAATTAACCAAAATTTTAATCAAATATATTGTTACATATACCGTATAGAACCGGATTGGATAGAATAAAGATAAAACTGCACAAATGGTCTTTGTGGAATGTTAAAAATTGTCATTTTGATCCAAAAAGGTTTGGACTAGCAACAGTGATCCAAAACTTTCATTTTGTTGCGTCTTTAGTTTAATCTGTTCTGATTTTTTTCAAAATGATGGATCTGTCCCTGCTAATATATTTTATCTTTTTTTTTATTTGTTTTTCTTATTTCCATATTTAAAAAAAATAATAAAATAAAAATAAAATAAATCTCTCTATCTCTCTCTAAAAAATCTCTCTCTCTCTCTCTCTCATTCTCTTTTTGTTTGTTCTTCATGGTTCTAAAGAACACTTCATAAAGCCCAGAAACCGGTGTCACCGACAGAAACCACCGTCATCCAAAATCATTGTCGATGCCACCACCATTTTCGTTGTTGGCCCCACCTCCTTCAGCCCCACCTTCAACCCCCATCGTCTCTGTCACCATCACCTACAACAAATCCTAATCGATTCCCACCATCGGAGACCCTTTTGTCACTTTCTTTGTTCGTCTTCTCCACCGGAAACCATATCCATAACCCCGATTTTTGACAAAAAACATCACCAACTTCTGAAACGCTAGCGTCGCCACCTTATCTCATATGGATTAGGGTTTTGAACGAAGAAGAAGGATGTCGTCGATTTGTGAAGACAACGACGTTTACAGATCAAGAATGTCGTCGATCTTGAGGGTTTCTAGACGAAGCCACCTCCGAAAATCTGAAATGCATTCGTACAAAGCTTGAATCGATAGATCTGGTGGTGAGGATTCAGATCCTCCTTCGTCCAGATCTAGAAGCCAGTTTATGGGATACCACCGTCAGAAGCAAACATATTGCCTCTCGCTGCCTTTCATCTAATCCTCTGACTTGATTGATCCTCAACAAAACCTAGCTCGAAGCAAACCCTTATTTACAAATCTGTTTCCATTGTCGGAGAAGAAACAAAGAGCATACCGGTAAGGGTTAAGATTGGAGGTGCTCCAACGCGCGCGCGCGCGTGAGAGAGAGAGAGAGAGAGAGAGAGGAAGGAAGTGGTGATCGTGGTGGTGGTGTTGTTTACAGGAGGGAGGACTGAAAATAAATTTCTTTTTTTTAATTTAAATAAAAAATATAACAAAATTAAAAAAATAGAAAATTAAATTAAAAAAAGACAAATCTATCATTTAAAAAAAAATTCAAAGTAATTTGGACCAAACTCGCAACAAAATCAAACTTTTGGACCACTAGTGCTAGTCCAAACCTTTTTGGATCAAAGTGACAATTTTCGACAAACCATAGGGACCATTTGTGCAGGTATAAAAAGGTCCCTTCTCACCCCGACCACAGGTATAAAAAGGTCCCTTCTCCTCCAAGAGAAGGGATCGAGAAATAAACCCTTAAACACTTGCCTAACACTTTTTTCCTGGAAACATATATTTTATTGGTTTCATTGTTGACCTAATTAAATAGTCATAAATGAGCCGATGAGATGAATATCAAATTTTACAATAAATGTAGCATTATATAACCCATCGTATCGTCTTATCAACTAATTTAATGACTAGGTGTCTAAGGTGCTGTTTGTTTTTCTATAAAAACCTCTTCAAACCACTTATTGCTACGGCGCACCACACACGCAACACTTTTCCTCTCGCAGCAGTTTGTTTTTTGGAAAACTTCAGACTACAAAACCTTTGCGCGTGTGCTGCGTGGCGCAACACTTGACTTGCATCTTCTAACCTCTTCAGCTTTCATTTTTTTCTAAGTGTTTTTTTAAGAATTTTTGTATAACTTTTTTTTTTTAATTATTTTTTTTAAACTTTGATTTTCTTAAATTTTTATTTACAGATGTGATACAATTTATTTTTATAATTTCCACGATTTTTTTTTTTAACTTGATTTTTAATTTTTTTTTACCGTTTTATTAATAATATTTTCAATTTCAGTTACATCTTTTTTAACGTGTGTAATTTTTTACGAACTTTGTAGACAACGTTTGCAATACTTTCTTAATTTTTTTATTATTTTATTTTTTAATGTTTTTTAAAATTAGTTTTTTTTTCTAGAATAAAACTATTAGCTTCTTTTACATTTTTTTAAGTTTTTTATTTTTGTTTTTTTACTTGTTCTTGTTATTATTATTTCAATGTTTAAGACTAGAATTATTAAGTTTCAGTGTTGAGAACTATTTTCAGTTTATAAATTTAGTTTACTGCAGCAGTATGCAGATGTTAAAAAACAAACATGCTTCTTATTATAGGCTGCAGACGTTTATTCCACCACTTCTGCTACAGAGGATTGCAGAGGTGGTCTGCAGCCTTCATGAATTTTCGCTTCGAAAAAACAAACAGCACCTAAGTCAGCAATGAAACTGATAAAATGTATATTACGTGGAGAAAAGGGTCAAATTGATAGTTTCATTTTATTTACTTCTTTTATAGTTTGTTTTAGCACATTTCATCCATAATCTTGTTAATTTCCATGCATAATTTCCTTTCTGTTATTTTATGACTATTTCGGGTACTTTATAGTTTCATGAGTTTATTGCAGATTTCATGGAGACTAGTGGAGTGGGAGTGTCGGGACGTATGGAAAGCGGTTAGAATAAGAGGAAGTCGAGAATTATAGGCTTGGTGATAATGGAGTTGATGCATGGAGTGGGCTTGATGATTATCTGAAGGCTTGGAGATAATGAAATTTTAAAACTACAAGATACGGGAGAATATTCAAGCGTGCGTAGGTTATTGATCGAGCGAGTTTACGAGCTATGGAGGATTTGGAGAAGCCAAATTGGGCTTAAAATGAACAAAACTTTAAGAAAATGGGCTATGAGCTGATTGGAATCAAATTTGGCCAAGTGGGCTAAGCTATGGAGGCCCAAACCTCAAAGAGGCCACATTCAGGAACCACCCGCGCAACCGCATGCGGGTCGCGCACAGCACTGCAGGGCAAATTTGGAACGCTATTTGAGGAAGATTGGTGTCCATCTTTTGGAGACTCTTAGACATCCGATTTTTGAACATTCCCTATGGAGTTTTGAAGACTTTTGAAGGACAATAACACCTCAAGAACATCATCTTTTTACCTCCTAATTCCTGTTAAATGTTTGGTACAATCTTCTATACCTTTGTTTTCTTGAGTTTAGCCATGCTTGGCTAAACAAATCTTGGTTGACTTTTGTTGAATCCTTTGATTTTGTTGAATGTTGAAGAATCCATTAACTTGTTCTTTAATCTTTATAGAAATGTTTTGTGCTTTAACATATTATCACTACTTGTATGTTTTTATTCATGAGTTTAAATGTGTTTATGGTGATTAGTTAGCTAATTTTTTGATTAAGTAAAGGATTCTCAAATTAGCAAGCAACAAATGACTTTTGTGTTGTTTTTGTTTCACACAATCATAAAAACATTTCCTCCAACATGGTAGTGAAAACATTTGACTCCTCTTGGATTTGGTGACTTTTTGGTTCTTAATGCTAGTTGACTTTCACTAATTACATGCTTAATAGAAATTGTGACGTTGACTAAGGAAATTGTTATGAGCTTCTCTAACCATTTTAACAACTAAGAAAAGTCTAGGTAATCTCAAGCTTCTTGGATTACTATAGCCAAATTAAGGATTTAAATCAAGTATTGCACCAATGGATTCTAATGATATGTTCATCAAAAGTCAAAGTGAGGAAACCTTAAGTTAATCATCCTTCTCTTATTCATTTTACATTAAACTCTTATTTAACCTGGGAGACTTTCACCCAGTTTTTCCCTTGATGCTTCTAAGCCGCTTTGAATTGGCCTGTGCCCGTTGATGAATCATCAATCCATTCAGACGTCACGTCAGCCGAGAAGACGGACTTGCTAGTATCGTCAAATAGAGTATAGAATCCTTCTTCCGCTCTAGTGGTGGGTTAATCTTTTCATTAAGTACCCCTCATTAACCTCGTACACTGAGTCAAGCAACTTCTCCTTTTCTGTCATGAAGAGGAAGTGA